ACTTAAATATCTTACTATGATGTATTTTAATAATCAAAATAGTAATAAATAAAACAATTTTTTTATCAGAATAAAATAAGAATTTTTCCGGGTCTCTGAGCCTAGTACAGGCAATCACGAGACGACTATCATCACTTGTGGACAGATCGGACATGTAGATCTTTTTGAACTAAAAAGTTCTTCGTTACACTTTGGAACAATTATATGGTCAACTTTGGATATATCGAACCTGCCGTTCCAGATTTAATTCGGTATAAAGTGAGTTCGCTATATGATTATCATGTTTTATACTGAATTGTTCGGTATATAAAAATTGACCAATTTATAACATTTTATTATATGAGTTATATTCAATCTGATTAATAAAATAATTAGTTCTATAATTCATAGTTCAGCTTAACGAATTTTTGGTATAAACAGGTTCGTTATATTTCAGTATATCCAGAGTCGACTGTATATTCTTTTAAACAATATTCGGTATAAATAAATTTTTAAAGATTCTAGAAAAAGATTAACGTAAATAAAAAAGCAAAATGATTATTTAATTGTTACATTTCACGACATTACATTCAAACAATAAAAAAAATCAGCTTGAAATTCACAAAATAATCTTGTAATAAAGCTTCTATTTGTTTATTACAAATTATGAAATTCAAAACAGATTTTCCGTAAACGTAAGCAACAAAGGAGAATTAATTTAAGTTTTATATATAAAAATCATATTATCATTATCTGAAAATTTGTACTTTAGTTTTCGTGAAACTATCCAACATTTAATGTTTATTTCATAATATTAAACAAATTTATGAATAAATTTATATTCTCCTTTGGCGGCTTATTTCATAAATTTATAGACAATTTAAGCTTTGAGATTCAGGAGTTAATTCATTCAGGCAGTTTTGTGGTAAAGGTAACAAAAGTTTTATTCCTAAATGATTTTTCCAACGAACATTAAGTAAGGCACAATAATTTGTAGGAGTCATTGACATCTTGGTTAAACAACTTCTCCTCAGATTATAGACGTAGCCAGGATAAATACGACTATGATGCAGATCATCTATAAATAGAAATAAAACCATCAAATTCCAAAATCCTAAAACTTTTTTTTTACACATTATAAAGAAAAAACAATCCGTAATAATAATATTATAGACAATGGAGAATAAAATTTATGGTTTCGAATCTTTAATTAACTAGAAAATTTTTGAGCATTAGGCATTTGAAAATTGACAATTTTCTTATGAAATGCTTAAATTTTAGACATACGATTAGTCATGTGACATCGATTTTGTCCAATGAAATGAATGTTCTCACGTGAAAATTTTTAACACGATATTAATTGATTCTTAACAAAGTGTAATTTTAATCACGTGCTTGTTTTAATTGGATAAAGGTCACATGAAATGTTTATGATCGGCAAAAAAAATAGATGATCTGCACCATATGAACCTTCTTTGCACAATCAGCGATAAGCGTAAAAAGGTCTTTAACTTCCTTTGGTTCATCTTTCCATCTTGTACCAGCAATTTTGGAAATTTTGTCTAGCTTGTAGATTCCTTCGATATATAACAAATCTGTTTTGCGGTCTCGGTATCTCGGTATCTTCAAGGTACGATGATTTTCTATTGGCGTTAATAGATTATAAAGCGACAATACCGTGTTCTGTTCGACCTTGAGCAAGGTCCTCGTTGATATATTTTGAAATAATTTTGTTAACAATAGTAGAGTATTTATCAGGAAGATTTTCGTGATTAAAATCACAAAGTTGATACGGAAAATATTGCATGGAATACGACATGATTATTCAACGAGGAGAATTTTTGGGTAATTTGATAACATAAACCCGTCGACAAGCAAACTCTTTATACAGTATATGAATTAATTTCTCTTCGTAATACACCCGGAAAATTTCATTAATAATAAAAACATTTAAAGAAATAAAGAAATGTGAGATCCAATCAAATTTTTATTCACTCCTTGATATTACTACCTTTCTAAAGATGTTTAGATAAATACATAAATTAATTTTAAATTAATAGTTGTATTGTTATTATATACAGTAGATAACTTTGTATACCATTTTAGTATGAATTAAATTTTTTTTTAATTTTGTTGTTCTTAAATAAATTATTACTATTGTTAAAGATTAATAATCTAATCCTTTGTTTGGATACTGTACATTGTTCATTCAATAACCACACCATTTGTGTATCGAAACAAATTATTCGTCCGCCTTATTATAATATCAATTTTTCCGTGATAAATTTGTTTCTTCGATTATTATTATAATAAAGTATAGATTATATGGCTCTTTTTTTAAGTGATTCAAGGGTTTTTGTTTCTAAGTAAAAATTTTTATGGGATTATCATTTCCTTTAAAATCATAGTTTAACGCTGATGACAGTATTTTGAGTGTGGTGTGTTATTAACAATAGATGTGCATTAAAAAAAAGGAAATGATAAATGAGTCAAACAATTTTACCATAAAAAATATCATTTATTGTCGATAGTTGGAGTTGATTTTGACATGACCCGTTAAAAAGATTGTGTGTGGCATAGTAAATTTTATAATCGTGAAAATAAAATAAGATTAATTAAGATTATTATAAATTAATCTTTTTCAAACTCATATACTGTAATTAATAAGTTTTATTCACTTCCTAAAAAAATTTTTTTAATTCTAACTGATTTTTCTCTAAATAGTGCTCGTTACCCCCAAAAATTTATTTACTATAATAAATAATAAAAAAAAAAATTTTTAGAAAGCTTTAAGCAAGTAATACATACTGAGATATAAAAAATTAATTGACCTAACCGTATCCAAAAGTAGTTTAACTATTGATATTGCAATTGAAAAATTTACCTGCCCTGTTACTTTTTTGAAAAGTTCTAAAGGATATGAGAAACTTCTGAATCAAATGATATTAGGTCGTAAATTCCATAGATTATATTGAATAATAAACTTGTAAACCTAGTAAAAAGGGTCAATAATAATAACATATTTATTCCTGCATCCTTGATAAATAATATCTAATTCAAAGAGAGAAAAATAAATTAATTTTTGAATTTCCCGCATTCCCATATTATTATTATATTCACTTACAAGAATGACTAATTGAAGCATATATTTAAAAATATTGAATATACCAGCTTCGAGTAGCAATTTTCTTGCTTTAGAATTGAATATAGTGATATCTACGAATAATTTCATAATTATTAAATCGACCATAGACAACATTGTAATTATTGTTGTCATAAAAATATGTTTTCTTAGCCAATCCCTAAAATCCCTTTTATTCGTTTGTTGAGTTTGTTGCACCATTACTCCAAGTACAAATGATAGATTAAGTACTGCTGGTACTGCTAACGTCATGATGCTAAAATGATATTAGAAATGTAGATCTTTCAATAGTCGATCATTCGAGTAGGTTGAAGCGGTCGCATATGATAGTTTCTTAAGTTGATTAATACCTTGGAAAAAATAAGTCAGGAGCAGCACTTACAGTATTCATTAAGAATGCCACGTCCGATGCAAAATCTAATACTTTAAGTAGAACTATAAGTGTTGTTATATTTCTTCCCTAATTAAAAAATAAACAATTAAGTTAGAATTTGCTATTATTAAGAAATATTTTAAATGAAAAGTTGTACATACATTGAGAAATACTAAAATTCCACCCGTAAATGCTAATACTTCCGTTAACGTTAATTTATCTACAAAATAAAAAAAATTATGTTGATTTGACAGATGATTGGCTTGCGTTCGTTAAAAAGTTTTATAAATTTAACCTTACAAAATTCTTCAGGTAGTAAAATTGCTAGATGAATTCATTATTTAGATAAATAGAATAGTCTGAAATTTGATTTTTTTATCAAATTATGGGGAGGAGATATTTATGATATGATTTACTGTAAAGCAGTGATGGTTTGGACAATTTTTCACTCCAGAATAATCATCCGCGCTCATGAACTTCATAAATAATACCCATTTAAATATTTTAAATTGATCTGCATATGATTTCGGGCGTAACGCATTTGGATTAGAATAATTGAAAGTAGAAATATATTCATTGATAAATAAACACATTCTAGGTTTGAATCAAAAAAGAAAAAAAAATCAAGCAGAATAATCATCCGCGCTCATGTTGTGTATTGATTTGATGTTATCAAGATAAAAGAAATGACATAATGTAAAAACAATTTCGTAAGTATGATGAAGAAAAAGCCTCATAATATGCCAATGACTGAATATAGTAGATTGGTATCCAAATGGTGGAAGGAACTTTCGGAACCTAAGAAATCAGAATTGCGAAGACGCTATAAATAGATAGAGATAGAAAACAATACCTTCCCGCTACAAAAATGATCCGATATCTAAACGTTTGGGAAATTGAAAGAAGAACCTTCAAAGGAATTTTTTAATAACATCGAAGATATTTGAATAAGTAATCACTATATTCAGAGGATTTTTTTTTCCTAAAATTCTATAGTAACGTCATTCGTAACCGTTAATCACTTCTTTTTTTGATAAAAAATTTACTACAAGTAACTCGACCTTTCCCCTTTTTTATTTATATTCTTACTAATGTATGCTTTATTATGTAAGTCATATAGATAAATCCTGATCTATTTTCTTTCCTTATGATTAAGATTTATTTTATCGACATAAGATCATTAATATAAACATAATTATTAGAAATTTTTATTGTGAGTACTAAATAAATTTTATTGATTTATTTAACTTAAAACTTTCTTAATGTCGCGATCTATGTAAAAAATCAAAGACGTATAATGTGTATTAATATGTCAATTTAAGGACAAATTTCTTGAACTGTTTCAGTTTCAAAATTACAAATACGTTGGCACTACCTTCAAACATGTTTTAAACTTTCATATTAATTTAATAAATTATTTACTGCCATTGAGAGAATCCACTATTTGGCGCTGTTCTCAACGGTTTAGGGAATACATTATATGTGATTTTCACCAAATTGCTTTCTGATATTATTACATGGATCTGTATCATATAGAAATTTAATGATTTAAATGATAAATAACGACAATATTTTATAATAATTATTTTTAAATAAAACTTCATTTGTAGTAATTATAACTAGGGAAAACGGAGACCGTTGTTAAGTCCGGGACTTTATCCAGACTAGGGCTTCCGTTTGAAATAGTATATTCGCATATTTGTTTGTAAA